AACTTAAGCACTCTTTTTGTTTAGTATCTATGTACAATGTCCGTCAAAACTGAAGGATAATCTGAAAAAAATATGCTCACTCATTTAAGTCCTTAACTAATGTTCAATGGTGCAATTACTTATGTTAAATATCTCGAAGCAGATGCAAAATGTAGTTCTGTGCATAGGATAGTGCATGATAAATGGAAATTAGACAAATAACAATGAACTGTGCACTGGATGCATGTTGAAATTTGGATGTGTCACCTTGAACTAAAAAGAATCAGCTTTGTAGACGTTTTGTACAAATTTAATGAATCTTTATTCATCAAACTCAGCAATTTAAAAGAGTGAAGTGGCAACACTGTTCAAAATAGAATATGTTTATCTTCAGTATGACAGCCTGCTGCCAATTGGTAAAATGTAAGGTTCTTTCAATTGTTATCTTTCAATTTTATTCCACATATTTGACTGTTTCAAACCAATGTGGTGCCACTGCCTCAAGCAGAATACTTATTAATCACCTTGAAATAAAAGGAGTCAGCTTTGTAGGCAACCTTTATTAACATTCTAAAACATGAAATATCCTTTAACAGAAAAATGCCTGCAGCTCGGTGCCGCTAAGAAAGCTATTCCATACCAAAAGAATAAACATAAACAGCTGTTTCCATTCACACAAATTTAGTAGTAAAATAAAACATGTTGCCAGTAACAAAATTATCATATTAATGATAACATAGAACTAAATTCTTAGAAAATAAGTAAGGCAAAAGAAAAAAATAAATGCAAATATTAAATATACATCCAAATAGTAGCATTACAAAGTATTTCTCCCACCTTAATACCTTCATGGTGTAGTGGTCCGCATAGTTGGGGCATATTCGAGAGGTCCGTAGTTCGAGCCCCGGTGAGGGCATTGCTCGTTTTTCCGATCTCCTACTTTAAAAAAAAATATCTAATGTCTCTACAGTATAATTTAAAATTAATGTTGTCATTAATTGTGAGCTAAAGGCATCTTTTAATGGACGTCTAACTAAAAGATTCGGGAAGGCGAGAAAACAAAAATGGAGATCCTCCAAGCTCTGAATATTCTTACAGAGTGTCATCTCAAGAACTTCAAACTGCTTCTAAAGCAGCGAATTGGATTGTAGACAGATTGCTAAAGGGTGTCCAGGAGCAGCAACTGCATCTGAATACTGTTTTCTGGGATTATCGTCTCAAAGAAACCACGAAATTCTCAGAAGAAAATTGGTTTTAGGCCATCAGTTTGGCTCAGAAACTTCAAGAAACTGAATTCATGGATTGCATTTTATGTGAGAAAGCGAATGGCTTGTGTCCCATTCACTTCATCTTCTAAAGGTCTTCTAATCACTTGAGATGGTGTCTTTGTCATGTTTAACAGAGCTTATATGAACAGGACTGTGTACTGTTTACTGAGAAGTCCAGATATGGTCATGTAGGCTACATAGTCTGTAGACATGAGCAGGACTGGGTACTGTTTACTGAGAAGTCCAGATGTGGTCTTGTAGCTACATAGTCCGTAGACATGAACAGGACTGTGTACTGTTTACTGAGAAGTCCAGATATGGTCATATAGGCTACATAGTCTGTAGACATACATACTCAGTAGACATTTATTTTCGCTCTCTTTAAAAAGTGTTCAGAAGACGTTCTTTAAGCAGTAGTATGTTTTGTTTTGCTATTCCACTTATAATGTCCCAAAAACTTTCAACAAATTTTGCTTCCAGTTGCGAAACTAAGTAATTGAATTTATTTTCCTCAGCAGTTATTCCACAAATAGAAAACTGAGCTTCTAGTTGGTAAAACCATATTTCTGGTTTTTCAGCCTAAAAAGGAGGTATTTTCACACTTATCCGTGCTATTTCTTCTTTTGTTGCCGAGTCTTCAGGTTCTGTCTTCATTATAAATAATTACGGGTCATCAAGAATATTGCCGCTTGCAATTTTGTTTTCTTTTTGTATAAAATTTAAATGACAAAAACAAAAACAAAAAAATAAGAAGAAGAAGAGGAAGAATCAATTTTCTTATTATTATAACATCTTTATTTTTTACTGAAAAGGTAATTCCTTGTTGATTTCAATCATGACAACATTTCAGTATCTCTAGAATATATGTTTTTCATTGCTTTTTATTTGTCGCTATGCTAAGGGTGAAATGAGAGTAGCAGTAGTTATAAAGTATTTCTCTCGCCTTCTTAGCTTGCCTTTGTGGTGTAATGGTTCAGCACACTGGGCTGGTATTCCAGAGATCCGTGGTTTGATTCCCGGCGAAAGCGTTGCTCATTTTTCAATCTGCCCTGCTTCCAAAAAATACCTTGTAGAGACATTAGGTAATTTGGAAGCAGGAAAGATGAAAAATGAACAACGCCTTCGCCAGGGAATCGAACCACGGACCTCTGAAAAACCGGCTCAGTGTGCTGACCTCTACACCACAAATGCACGCTAGGAAAGCGGGAGAAATACCTTACACACTCTCCTTTTTAAAGGGCGACTTGGGTTTTTAGTTCAATATTCAAAGCCTGGGTGTGGAGAATCCACATCGAACACCCTTTTAGTTCGGGTGCTACTGTAGAGACATTAGGTAATCTGGAAGCAGGAAAGATGAAAAATTAACAACGCCTTCGCCGAGCATCGAACCACGGACCTTTGAAATACCGGCTTGGAATACAGGCTTGGAATACAGGAAATACTTGGAAATACAGGCTGCTGCGCGCGTATTCCAGAGGTCCGTGGTTCGATTCCCGGCGAAAGCGCTGCTTATTTTTCAATCTCTCCTGCTTCCAAAAAAATACTTGATGTCTCTACGTAGTAGCGTTTTTATTTTTCATCAAAAAGTGTCACTACCAAAATAATGTCTTGGCAGCCGGAGTGTGACTACAGTCTGATTCTAAACGCGTTTTGATTAGGAGGGAATGAGGAATCACGAACTTTGCTTCTTTTGTTCATGAAAGTTAATGAAATTTGTATGGGGCCGGTTTCATGATTTGGGGTGGAATCATGAAAAATGGCTACATTGAACTGCAAAGCTTTAATGAAAGCTGTATAATCGGTTATTGGGCTGCTAATTGGTCCAGAAATTTTGAAAATCGACGACAATGCAGGTCATTATCGAGAACCTCTGGTGTCAGCGTACTTAAAAAAAAAAAAGATATCGCTCAAATGAATGGACCAGCTTTCTTACCAAACTTTGTCTGGTCTAAGCGCGTATGGGATGCCTTGGGCCGATGTATTGCAGTACATCAATTGCCTCTTGGAACCCTCCAGCATCTGAAAAATGCAGTTTCGGAAAGGTTATGTGCAATCCAATCAAACAGTTTGTTAAATTCTGTTAACCCTTTTAGTCCAATGGGTTACATAAGTCCCAGTAGATGTTTAAAGAAACCTATAGGGAATTAAATGTATCAATGTACTAGTTAGTTGATATCTCACTGGTAGCAGACATCATTTCTATCATCACCACTTCAAAATTGTATATGGTAGATCACACACTACCACTACAATATGGTACCATACCACTTCAATATGGTAGACCATCATTCGTTTCCAGGCTGTTGAATATAGGAGATCACTTTACCCATCAAAGGGCCCACTAAAAGATGGTGTCACAGTTGTACAAGGAAAAGCAAGAGAAAAGGACTAACACAATTTGTGTGGCATGCAGTTTACCACTATGCAAAAACTGTTTTACTTCTTATCACACATAAGTTATGAAAATAAAAATAGTTTCTTGTAATTTCTTTTATACGTCAACAATTTAGTACTAATGGGACACATATGTCCTACCAATACCATCCAGTGGGACATATTTGTCCCAGGACCCCGGAAGCACCCCATTTTAAAATAAATGTTTAAAATGATATTTTTCAGTTCTTTGTGATAATTACCAAGAGTACATAGAAAAATCAAATCATTTGAAACAAACAAATAAATTGGAACTGAAGGAATTAAATCAAGTTTGGTGGTTTGCATTTTTGTTGGAGGTGACGATCCTCCATGTTAAAGAAACATTAATTGCAAAACAAGGAAATCTATTTTTCTATGTTCTTAATTTTCCATAACTTTTCATTCTAAATTCAATATTTTGAGATTAATCAATAGAAAATTGTTGTGATTTATTTTAGATAGCATTTTTGTTTATTTTTTTAATTAAGTAAAAAATCTTTTTAAATTCCTGCTATTAGCTCACACTCTACCTATAGCTTGTTCAAATTTTCAATCGTTAATAAAATACTTTTTTATTCATCCACTCAAGTTCTCAAGTTCAAATACATTTTTTAAACTTGTAGAGGATGACACTTGATGTTAATACAGTTTTTTCACATATTAAAAATTTTGCGCTTTGAAAAAAACAAAAAAAAAAAAAAAAAAAAAAAAAAAAAAAAAAAAAAAAAAAAACTGCATATTTTTATTTATTTATTTATTTTATTTTATATATATATATACAAAATATATATATAAATATAAATATACATATATTTATATATATATATATAAATAAATAAATAATATATATAAATATTATCTATTATATATCTATATATATCTATATATATCTTATATCTATTTTCTAATTTTTTTTTTTTCTTGTTGACCTAAGGAATTGACTTTAATTTTTTTATTTAATTAATTAATTTTCAATCATTAATAAAATATTTTTTATTTATCCACTCAAGTTCAAATGCATTTTTTTAAAGTTGTAGTGGATGACACTTGATGTTATTACAGTTTTTTCACATATTATTATTTTTAATTTTTAATTTATTTGTTTTTTATTTATTTATTTATTTTGCATTTTTAACATTTTTCTTTGTTGACTTAAATAGGAATTGACTTTAAAAAATTGTTTTTTATATTACTTGAAAATTTTTCTTTGTTGATCTAAGTAGGAATTTTTTAAAAAAAAATATGTTACTTGTTAAAGTTATTTTTCCATTGGTAAATTTTATTGCCGTGAATATCCTTAATTTTCGCAAGAAGTATATTTATATTTTTTTCTTCTAGGACTGTATCATTGTTGGGAGTTCTCCTCTGCTTGGCTGTGATGTTCATCAGCAGTTGGCTGTATGCGTTACTATCCATGCTTCTTGCTGGATTGATTTACAAATATATCGAATTCAGAGGGTAATTTTACATATGTTATAAAATACTTCACATTATAAGTAAATGGATTTTCAAGTCTTTTTTTTTTTTTTTTTTTTGTGTGTGTGTGTGTGTTTTTAATGTGTTCTGAAACATTTTAGTGCTGGATTCAATACAAGAGAGTATTGAAACACATGTACCGCAAAAGAATAAAAATTGTAAAAGATTCTGAAACTTTGGTTGCAGATAAATAGTGTAAAATTTATTTTATTTAACATTTTAAAAGTTTTATTCCTCTAATTCTACAGATATGCTGATCATTCTTAAACATTTATTAAGCTGTTTAGCTTTTTAATACAGTACAAAGTCCGTAATCCGGACGTCCATTATTCGGAATGATCTATAATCCGGACCTCAAATCCACAAACTTTTTTGTATGCTTTACGCATGCGCGTTTAATGCGCGCTTCCAATAGTGAAGAGAGTGACAGAGAGGTTATTGAAAACGAAAAAATTTCGATTGACTAGTTAGTCGGTATTTTCGACATAGCAATTACAGGACTTGAACAGTGGAACTTACTAACTGTATAATAATAAAGTAAACAAATAAATATTAAGCTTTTTTTTTTTTTTTTTTTTTTTTTTTTTTTTTTTTTTTTTTTTTTTTTTTTTTTTTTTTGTAAAATTTGATACCCTTTACATCATAATTTCTCTTTATTTTATAAATTACGGTTTAACATTTTTAATTGTATAATTTCTGCATGCCATCTTCCCAGATTTAAATTGATGATCTATAATCCGGAATCGCTGAATTCCCGACGAGCCCGGATTATGGCCTTTGTACTGTACGTAATTTCATGTATTATTTATGTAGGCATAATAATTTTTCAGACTTATCTTTTAAATTAATCTGTAGGTTTAGAGATATAGATATAGCAGCAACTGGCTTCTTTGATTAACTTGTGTAAGGTTTTCTAACTGTCGGTTGCTTTAACTGCCAGGCTATACTATAAGAGAAAAATGGGCCTTCGTATAGGACCTTTTAAGAGGAATTGTCTAGTATTTGCATTACTAATAAAACATATTACAGGAAAAATCCCAAAAAGTTTAGCAGTTCGCATAGCCCGTTCGTTGGAATTTAACCCAGATCTAACTTATCAGTATTCGGGGGCTTGGGACATTATTTTTCTCATATAGTATTGCATTCTTACAAATGAATTCCATTTATTCCACATTTAATGTTTTCTGAATGCTGTTTCAGATTCATAGTGTCATACTTTTAATTCATGCAACAATCATAAGCTGTTAAAGTATCAGATTCATCCTATACATTAAAATATCACATATATATATTTACATCATATGAGGCCACCTTCATAATTAGATTGCTTTTGAAGAAAATATAAAATAAACTAAATTTTTCAGCAATACAGGATGATAATGGTGGTGTATGTGGTGTGGTGTATTTAATTATGGCAAAGCACACTAGGGCTATCTGCCTAAGGGGAGGGATGCCTTCGTGGAGGACTTTCTAAGGGAAACTGGCTCGTATACACGTTACACATGGGGAAAACCACGAAAACACCCATGCAGCCAGCCCGTTCGCGGGATTCGAACCTCGAACCGAACTACCAGTGTTCAGCGACTTACCGCTCGGCCGCTGGTGGGCCCCAGGATGATAATGAAAATGCAATTAAATTTATCTGTGATTGTTTGAGGTTATGCAAACTAAACTTTCCCGTGGCCTTGCATAATTAACGACTGAATAACTACTAGTATTTACTAATAGAAGCAACTCACTTCCATTACTTGGTAATTTGATACTTTTACAAATAAAGAGTCTACTGCCTGATCTTAAGTTAAAGCGTGATTGGCCACAAATAGGAGACGCTCAATCATAATGTTGCAGTAAAAGCAGATCAAACCTACATCTGCAAAAGTTTACCCCCTCCCTTCTTTTTACTTCCTTATACCTAGTTAAGACATTTTTCATTAAATAGAATGGTTCATTACAAGAAGAAGGGGAAATTTTTACAGGAAGATGTTATATTAAAAAAATAGAAATTAAGATATTAAGTTATTTATGAAGAAACCACGAGGACGAGAAGAAGATGAAATTAATGAAAAGGGAAGTGAGAATTTAGGAAGAAATAATTCATAATGATGGATTTCATATTTGTCCTATATATGAAGAATGAAGGGAACATAACGGAAGTTACAGGAAGAGAAGAAGAAGCTGCTGAGTAGAAGAAGTTTAAGGAATTGAGATATAGATGAAGATACTCCATAGTATAAGGATAACTAAAGATTTAGTAAATAAGGAGTAGTATTGAAGAGGATATAGCTAATGAAGGATTACTTAATCGTTTATGGAAAGGCAGAAGAAGGAGGCTTCAAAGGAAAAAGATTTAAAGAGAAAAGGTATAAAGTTACAAATAAAGGTTTTAAAAAGAAAAAGGAAATTTTTCTGTAGAAGATAGAATGAATATGTTAACAAGTAATTCATAAAGATGGATTTCTTATTCGCTATATTAAGTAAAAAAAATGAAGGATATATAGGAAGAAAATACATGTAAAATGGAGGAAAGAAATTAAGATAGAAGAAAGGAAGATTTAACGAAGATTAATTGAAAAGAAGATTAAACGAAAGAGAAGAATGAAGAAAAGAAGAACGAAAGAGAAGAACTTCTTGAAGAAGAATGAGGGAATAAGTTTCAAACGTATTTTACTAAGGACAAATTTCGACATTTTATAAAGAATTACTTCAAAGGTACACTTCATGAAGGACTATAAAGTACTACTTTAAGATTTTTATTTTTATTTATTTTTTTTATATGGCACACTATATGGCAATGTAAAAACCTTTGATTTATTCATAAATACTAGATGAGGGCGGACGTGGGCAGAACCGATTAACCGTAATGGTAAGGGATGGTGCCCACGTCCTCTGTTACTACTGCTACTTCCTTATACAAAGTAAATGAAGGACTGTAATCACAAAAAATTTCAGGTACCATATTTCAGCGAAAATATTAATTTTGACCGCTATCGAATGTAATTTAACTTTTTTTACACAACATCTGTCCATAAGGATAAAATAAAGGATACATAATACGTAATTCTATACATAAGGACAATATCCTTATGTACAGTTCTGTACATAAGGATATTCTCTTTTTCCGCAAACGAATTATAAAGTTGATTTAAAATGGATTCGAGGATATTTTTTATGACATCTGTACGTATGTATACAGTACAAAGTCCGCAATCCGGACTAGTCGGGACTTTGGCGATTCCAGATCAGGGGTTTTTCTGGATTATAGATCATCAATTTAAATCTGGTAAGATGGCATGCAGAAATTATGCAGTTAAAATTATGAAACCGTAATTTATGAAATAAAGAGCAATTATGATCTAAAGGGTATCAAAACTTACAAAAAAAAAAGCTTAATATTTATTTGTTTACTTTATTAAACATTTTTTTCAATGTAAGTTGTTTAAGTTGCTTCGTTTTTTTGTGCTAATACTTTCTCTTTTATTATGTAAGCAGTTCAGTTACAAAGTTACACTGTTCAAGTCCTGTAATTGCTGTGTCGAGAATACCGACTAACTTCTCAATCAAATTTTTTCATTTTCAATAGCCTCTCTGTCACTTTCTTCACTATCGGAAGTGCGCATAGTTAAACGCTACGCGCATGCGTAAGTTTGTGGCCTTCGAGGTCCAAATTATAGATTATTCCAGATAATGGACGTCCGAATTACGGACTTTGTACTGTATATGCATCTCACATAACTCCAAAATCAGTAACATCAGAACGTTGAAAATTTTTATATAGGACTGCTATAACATGTAGTCGTGCACCTCCCTTTTTGTTTCAATCGACCGCACCATGAGTGTGTGTATATCTATGTACATGTGTGGATGTGTATATATGTACACACCCACTCTATTATTCGGATCGGCATGCTCAGATTTTTTTTAGCTTTATATGTTGGTAAATTATGCATTTTTTTGCTTTCAAATGATTGAATAATCTTGTTCTCTCTTCTGGTTAAGGTTTTTGCTTTAGTTAATCTGCATGCAGTAGTTGTAAAATTTTCAACAATTTAAAAGTTGTTGTATCTTTTTCCCGAGTGGCACCAAAAGTTAACTTCCTGCACCGAAAAATCTGACTTTTTACCTGCTGGTTGAATTTCTTGTGTTTGTGTAGAAACTCTAATTCTAATTGTAAAAATTGTTTTTTTAATTGCTTTAATTACATTTGGTGTTTTGTAATTTTCCATATTTTTCAATTTTTAATGAAGATATTTTGTGGTTTTATGTATTTTTTCCTTGCCGGGAAGTGAGAATTGAATTGAATGAGAAATCTATCTGTAATGAAATTCGAAGAAATAACTTAAAATGAAATGCAGCAAAAAATGCGTATTATTTAATCATTTGCGCCTTTAAGAAAGAATTACTTCTTTTTAAGTGACGAAACTTCATCTGAAGCATCATTAAATCACTAGACTTGAAACTTGAATTTTAGTCCTGCAGTGCTATAGACAAGAAGCTAGTTATTGCTGTATCTGAAATAAGATGACAACTTTTTTATTAAATGGAACTTTAACAAAACAGCACATGCTACAGATGATAAACCACTGCTTGTTGGGGTGTAAAATAACCAATAATAGACACTTCAGTTTTAACGCTCATAACATAGTCCACGACTTCACAATCAAATACTAGTCAAATACTCAGTCAAATACAAACTGGCTCAAATAATTTACTGGCACGTAAGGTTAAAGTATCTGCTGCTAGAGAATGCAAAGTCGAGATTTATACCTTTTGTACAGAATTCTGACAATGCTGCATTACAGCCAAAAAACTCTCTCTCTCTCTCTCTGTTCTAAAATCCAAATACATGACAAGTTAATTTTCGTTCTGCTCAGAAATATGGAAAGAAGAAGTTAAAGTAAGGATTAAAAAATATTTATATACATAAATTTAAAAGCTTTCTGATTTTACATTTCACCCAAATGGGCATTTTTTTAAAGTTTTGTGCGTTAATTTTATTTATTAAATATCATGCTCTTCCCACATAAACCATAAAATTCAGTTCAACAGCAATATCACAGAATCATTTTAAAATGAGCCTATCTTTAGAATTTCCGATACAGAGCCTCACACGCTGGAGATAACTTTTTTTTTTTTTTTTTTTTTTTTTTTTTTTTTTTTTTTTTAATGTATAGTATTGCCATGGCTCGCTTTGAAATTGTTGAATTCATTAATCAAAAATTCATTAAAGTTTTACAAAATGTGAAATCGATAATAAAACAAATTCCAAATGTGGCCTTCCATATGCCCATATTCTATGGAAGATTACGTAATTCAAAATCTGATGTCTCTAGGTACAGTTGTTTTATCACAACGCAAGAAACTTGCATACATTTATGCAGATTCTTCATTATTTAATTTCTTTAAATATAATACAGGGTTATAATATTTGGTGGCAACAGTTTGAAAAGTGAACCGACATTTAAAGTTTTTGAAGCAGAATGCCAATAGGAAAATAATAGCGCATCTGGGCTAAAAATTATAATAAGTAGTTCGTTTAACACATAGTGTTGCAGTGACTTTATGTTAAACTAACCAATTATTATAATTTTAGTTTCCAACAGACTAAAATGAAGTATTACTTATTTAAAATATGAGACAGGATCTTTCAATTAATATATATTGAAGTGCGTTCACGATTGTTTTGTTAAAGCAGTGATTTACAATCCAAAAAATTATGAATGTCTGTCTTGACATATTTTGGTATAGTTTCACTCATTGTTCTTTCTGGTTAGTATGCTTTTACTCATCGTAAACCTCACAAGACTGAATTTCTTCCGTTAGGGCTGAAAAGGAATGGGGTGATGGTATACGTGGCTTAGCTCTGTCGGCTGCACGATACAGTCTTCTTCGATTAGAGGAAGGTCCACCGCACACCAAAAACTGGAGACCTCAAATTCTTGTGCTATGTAAATTGAACAATGAGCTTGTGCCTAAGCACAGAAAACTAGTCTCCTTCGCTTCTCAACTTAAAGCTGGTAAGTGAAAAATCTTCTCAATTTTTTCTTTTATTCATTACTTTTTTATTACAGTACAAAGTCCATAATCCGGACTCATCGGGACTTCGGCGGTTCTGGATTAAGTGTTTTTCCGGATTATAGATCATCAATTTAAATCTGGTAAGATGGTATGCAGAAATTATACAATTAAAAATATGAAACCGTAATTTATGAAATAAAGAGCAATAATGATCTAAAGGGTATCAAAATTTACAAGAAAAGAAAAGGCTTAATATTTATTTGTTTACTTTATTAAACATTTCTTTCAAATGTTTAAGTTGCTTCGTTTTATGTGCTAATACTTTCTCCTTAATTCTAAAAACAGACATAATTTCTTGTTCAGTTACAAAGTTCCACTGTTCAAGTCCTGTAATTGCTGTGCCGAGAATACCGAATAACTTGTCAATCAAAATTTTCGTTTTCAATAATATTCTCTGTTACTTTCTTCACTATCGGAAGCACGCATGAGTAAACGCTTCACTGGCTTTACGCGCATTCGTAAATTTGTGGCTTTGAGGTCCGGATTATTGATCATTCCGGATTAGAGACTTTGTACTGTATGCGTTTTTCCTCACTTGCAGCCTGTTGTACATCTTTATTTCCTTGCACAAAATACAGGAAGTATTGTAAATAAAAAAAATTGGGGTATCATATTACAACGAAATGTCCATTTTGACCGCTATCGAATGCAGTTTAAACGATGTTTTTGCATGACATCTGTACATAAGGACAGAATAAAGGACTCTTTTTCCTAAAACGAATTATAAAACTGATTTAAAATGGATTCAGAAGAGATTTTTTGTGGCATCTGTACGTGCGTATGTATGTATCTTATATACCTCAAAAACGATTAGCCTCAGAACATTGAAATTTTGTATTTGCGACTGCTATAACATGTAGATATGCACCCCCTTTTTCGTCACAATCGGTCGCACCAAAAGTATATAAATATATGTATATGCATATATATATGCACTCTTGTTACTCGGCTCGGTAAGCTCAGTTTCTTTAAATTTACGAGTATATGTTTGTAAATTGTGCATTTTTTATTTAAAAGTGATTGAATTGTGTTGTTCTTATCTTCCGGTTAAAGGTTTTATGCTAGTTTATTCTTTAGTTAACCTGCATATTATAGTTGTATAATTATCAACAATTTATAAGTTGTTTAAATGTGGCTAAGCGTAATTTCTTTTACCATAACAGCCATATTTGTTTGAATTTGAAAACTTAGCAGAATAGGAAAGTAAATTAGGTATTTTAATCACGAAACATTCCGGGTACCATATTTTCAACGAAAATATCTATTTTGACTACTATCGAATACAATTTAACGGTGTTTTTGTATGACATCTGTACTTTTTGGATTGTGCATTAGCACTGAAGGCGTAATGAGTACGTCTCCTCAAGCACAGTTTTCATTCAAGAATCATAAGTCAAAAAATTAACTACGAAATCTTTATTTAATAAAAATATGATAATTTTGCTTAACTTAAGCATAACAAAAAAGTAATAATCTTCACACACATTAAAACACTGAATTATCGAAAAGGAGATAACTTACATAGAATCATCATCAGTCCTAAATATCAGGCTTACCTATTTTAGGCAATAAGAAAAAAGAAAAACAGGAACATACGTTGACATAGTACTTGAAAAGAGAAAGTACTAAACGAATACACTCCACGTAGCAAAAGTGAAAGTCAAATACAGTCAAAAGTCGTTAATCCGGACTCGTCGGGACTTCGGCGATTCCGGATTATCGATTTTTCCGGATTATAGATCATCAGTTTAAATCTCGTAAGATGGCATGCAGAAATTCTAAAATTAAAAATATGAAACCGTAATTTATGAAATAAAGAACAATTATGATCTAAAGGGCATCAAAATTTACAAAAAAAAGCTTAATATTTATTTGTTTACTTTATTAAACATTTCTTTCAATGTAAGTTTTTTAAGTTGCTTCGTTTTATGAGATAATACTTTCTCTTTAATTCTATAAACAGACATAATTTCTTGTTCAGTTACAAAGTTCGCTGTTGAAGTCCCGTAATTGCTGTGCCGAGAATACCGACTAACTTGTGAATCGAAATTTTTTCGTTTTCACTAACCTCTCTGTCACCTTCTTCATGTCTTTATCCATTTTTTGCAACAATTTCACTTTTTGTTTGAAGAACATCGAAACATACTTTCGTTTTGTACGATCCTTTGGGAGCTCCAGCATCGGAAATTCTATTTGACATAATCGAAAGTTCAAGTTTACTTTTATAAACTTGCTCTTAAAGTCTGCAAAAAATAATAAGCCTGATCCAATTCGAAGATTAAGGAACAACGCAATCATCAACATTAATTGAAATAGATAATTAGATAATTTTAGCTTATACTGTCCATTACACATTAAACGCGCACGCTAAAACGTATTCTGCGCTTGCGCACACGCATATGCGCAGTCGTAAAGGTCTTACGCGTACGCGTAAACGGCTATGCGCGTGTGTCAAGGCGGGGCATGCGCAAAAAGTTTTTAGCTTTGAGGTCCGGATTATAGATCATTCCGGATTATGGGTGTCCGAATTAACGATTTTTGACTGTATACTGCATTGCTCACGAACTCTACTTTCTCTCGCCAATATATATCTTGGCGCACGTTGGTTTCGTATTCCTTTCGAGTTTCATTATGCAAAATACCTAAATTTATGCTAACATTGCCCCTGTTTTGCTAATGAACCTTATACCAATCGCAATTCATTCCTACAAAACTGCAATTTAGCTTTAGGAATTGGTTTAGTCATAATATCAACAACCATTTGCTCTGTTGAAAGATAAGCAAGTTTTACTATTCCTTTGTTATTCAAGTCGCGTATATGATGAACTTTTGTATCAATATGTTTTGTACACGAACTGAATTTTTCAGATTCTATAAGTCTTATAGTTGACTGATTATCTTCAAATACCTTTATCGGTAGAGTTTGGGGTAGGCTGAAATCTTCTGTTAATTTTCCAAGATTCTTCAATGTATTTTCAATTTCTGCATTCCAGCACCTAGCTGCTTATTTGAGACCATAAATCGACTTCTGTAATTTACAAAATTTATGTCTTTTTTCCGGAACCATGAATCCTTCTGGTTGTTCCATATATATTTCTTCATTTAAGTTACCATTTAAAAAAGCTGTTTTAACATCTAGTTGATGTACTATGGCGTTATTATACGCTGCCCATACTAAAAAAACTCTTATCGTAGTGTGTTTCACTACTGGTGAAAATGTTTCATCATAATCACTGCCGTATTTTTGAGTAAATCCTTTGGCTACTAAGCATGCTTTGTATTTTATATTTTTACCAGTTTCATCATATTTTGTCTTGAACACCCATTTGCTGCCTATTGCATGTTTTCCTGGTGGTAATTCTGTAAGTGTATAGGTTTCATTTTCTTTTAGAGAATGTATTTCTTCTTGCATAGCCTTGATCCAAGCTTCTTGTTCACGTTTTGGTAAGTTTAGAATTTCTTCAAAGCTTTCTGGATGTTTATTTTTTTAGGTAAGATTGATTCTTCGTCTTCTGCTTTATAAGAGAATCTTTCCGGTGGGACCCCTTTGGTTGATCTGCTAGAAACCCTTCTTTCTACATTTTCTTCACATTTAATTAACTCTTCAGAACTTTTTGAATCTTCAGTAAAATCATCGCCAAGAGATGTTTCTTCATTATTTTCTTCATCTTCTTGCGAGTTATTGAAGTGAATTAATTCTAAATCTTCAGCATTATTTTCTGCATGTTTATCAGATAAAGACGAGTTTTCTGAAAATTTAACAGTTCTATTTACTATTATTTTCCTTCCAACTACATAAATCCTGTATCCCTTACTTCGTAAATCGTATCCTACGAATATTCCTTCTTCAGCTCTGTTGTCGAATTTACGCCGTTTTTGTTTGTTCACATAATAAAATGTTGTACAGCCAAATTCTCGTAAGTGACTTAAGTTTGGTTTTCTACCATTCCACAATTCATATGGTGTTCTTATCTGTGGCTTTAGTTGGTAACCTATTTTGAAGATATGCAGCAGTAGCTGCTGCTTCAGCCCAGAATCCTTTCGGTAATTTAGAGTTTATAGGCATAGCTTTTGTCATTTCTATTAAAGAGCGATTTTTCCTTTCTGCGACGCCGTTCTGTGCCGGACAATAAGGAATCGAAAAATGCCGAGTTTCTTTAAATAATTTTCAGTAGTTTCGTTACAGTATTCTGTACCGTTGTCGCATCTGAGAACCTTTATTTTCTTTCTAAATTTATTTGTTGTCGATGCAACATACTGTTTAAGTTTGTCGAATACTTCATCATTTGAGGTAATAAAATAAATTTGAGTTTAACGCGAATAGTCATCAATGAAAGTTACGAAATATCTTTTCCCTCCTAAAGCTGTTGACTTCAATTGGCCCACACACATCTGTGTGCACTAAATCCAGTGGAGTTTTAAATCTAAAACTAGTTTTGGGATAAGATTTTTCAGTTAGTTTCGCTTTTACACAAGTAGAACATTCCACACTATGAGTGCATTTGCCAAGTTTAATGCCGTTTGCCAAATCATTTTTCTCAAGTGTTTTTATGTCATCTATATTTCTCTGGCCTAATCTTTGATGCCATTTTAGTATACAGTTCGTATTAGAACATGAAACATCATTAGCTGAGTATGCTTTCTCGTCAATTGAGTTTACGGTCAATTTATATAAACCTTGCTGAGTGTTGCCGTCGGCTACTAGTATATTGTTACGCTTTATGTAACACTTATTACTATCAAATGTAACAATGCAACCTTTATTCGTAACATATTGAACAGAAAGTAAATTACTATCTAAACCTGGTACATACAATACATTTTCCAATTTTATTTGTGTAACCTGACCGTTTACGTTTTGAACTTTAAAATAACCTTCACCAATACCATAAGAATTTAATTTAGCACCATTGGCTACAGTTACTATTTGTTTATTAGA